GTTCTGTTGGGGTCTTGAACCTGTTCTGTTCCTTTTCTGCATGTGGTCACTGCTGTTGTGTTGTTGCTACTGTGGTTGTGGTTGCTCTCTTCACACAGACACTACGCGTTCTGGTCCCTTATCCTGCAGCTGCTCTTCTACACCATATTCTCCCTCTTTTTTACTTTTTTACTTCTTCGTTGTCCGCATTCTTCGCACGTCGCACTCGCTCTCTCTCTCTCTGCGCTGCATGACACGTTGCGTGTGGGCGTCAAATAATTATCGACAAACCAAACGAAAAAAAAAAATCATCTCAAGGGCGGGATCCACGCTGTTGGGCACGCCCTTCTCGCCGTGGTGCCGCTCTTCCTCCTGTGCGACGCGGCCGACGTGGACTGCGAGCACGCCAGGCCCCACCACAGCCGGCCGCAGCCGCAGCGCATCCTGGTGTTCGACAAGCGCCCGGGGGGTGTTGGAGTCTCGGACGCCATGTTCGGCTGCCACAGGTATGTTGTGTGTTGGTGTGTGGGTGTGCGTTTTCTTAGTTGGCATCGACCGCGCCAACCGGCTGACCAATGAAAACGAAAATACTTCAGTCTTGTAACGGGATTAGAAACGCCAACACTTTTTGGTCAAAGGGAAAGGGTTCTAGTGTGTGCATGCATTAATTCACGGATGAGATCGCCACGGCGAGTATAGATTGCGGCGTGGGATATATATATATATGCGTTTGCGTTCTTTGTTTGTGAATACGCACGTGCGTGTGGTTCTTTACTAGATGGCTTCCTCCCGTGCACTTGTTACCCGGCTGGCTGTAAACCAACGTGTCGATTTCCTTCTTTGAGCGGGTCGAAAAAATACGCATGCATGTCCCCCATGCGCTGCTTTCTGGCCAAAATCAACTTTTCATCTAGAGGAACAGATGAGGAACCACCATTACGCGGGGCCATCCTACCGCGTTGCATTCGCCGACATCACTTTGAGGTTTTCTCTAGGGGTGGGCGCGGCCGGCTGGTAGGGGTCGGCGGTGTCGCTTGATTTGCCACGGGTTACCGGCGTAGTAGAACAATGCAACAAGCCGGTGTCGAAAAGTGCTGCGAACGCAACAGCAGCGAAGCGGTAGAGACACATGGTACAAACTACGGAGTGAACCCTCCCCCGCCCCCCCCACGCGCTTGCGAGCGCGCACGCTGCAGCTTCCTGGCTCGTAACCACCCCCTCCCCGCATTATCGTGATTTTCGCCGAGTCATCACACTTGCTTTTCCGATGTCTTTTGCGGATCAGAGGTGTGCTTAGCAAGGCCCTGGAGCTGGTGGAGGGCTGCCCCTGCCCCGAGGGATGCCTGGCCTGCATTCACGACCACGGCTGCACTGGCTACAACGCGGTGAGTCGCTGCTGCGGCGGCCATCACCTTGTTGTAGCCGGGCGAGGCGCCTCTTGCAGGTGTCCGGTGTGCTCAGCCCTTCCGGCTGCCCTTGTCAACCCTGGCACTCAAACCCTCTACTGATATTTGTGAAGTCTGGCACTCGACCTGGTCATGTACGTCATGTTTTGCGTTTTTCCCTCTGATGATGTTTGGTTTATTCCTGTGACGAGAAAGTGTGCGCCTCAGGTTATAGCACAAGCAAACCTGGAGAACACACGCGATTTTTGTCCCTGCTCACTCCACCAGACATGTGCCGAACTTGTCTTAATGTTTCATGTCTATCACCCCCACAACGCACGGCGGGAGCGCCATTGCAGGACCGTATAGGTTGCTGTTGTTGACGAGGTTGCTGCGGTAGAGGCTGTTGCTGCTGGCGACGCTGCTGGGGCACGGGTTGCTGCTGGACCGGTTGCGGTGGTATGTACCTCTGCTGCACGCACTGCTCCTGCTGCCAATGGGCGGTGCACTGGCAACGTGCTGCACCGTTAGTAATACGCTGCTGCTGCGGCTGTGCAGCCGGAGGGGGAGCAGCGGTAGGGTGTGCGTTGGTCACCAGCTGCTGCTGATGCTGGTACTGGCAGTGCCCTCTGAGGACATGGTTGTGGCAGCTGCTCTGGTGCACAACGCTCGTCACCTGTTGCTGGTGTCCGCCGTACACGTTGGGGCGGGCTATTCTCGCCACCCCCATAAACAACCAGCCGCATACCCGGCATCGCCCACTCTCCCTCTCACGGCTTCCTCCGCCGAACTCCTCTCCTCTACTTCATCCACTCTTCTCCGTGGCTCCGTATTCTCGGCTTCCGCTTTCTTCACTTCTTCCAACTCTCTCTCTCTTTCCGTCATCGCTGAACCAACACCTGGCCTAGCTAGGCTCCAATCGAAATATCGTGTTTGTGTGCACTGCCGCCCTCAGCGGTCTGTGGTGGTGAAGCTGGGGACTATTCTATCCCAGGAACAGCAGATGAAGAAAAGGACCATATATTATCTACCCGACATGCAAGCCCCTCAGGCAAGCTGGTCACCAACACGCGAGCCCCTCAGGCATGTGCCGGGAGCACACCGCCGTGTGCTTACCCGGAGGCCCCGCACTTGGACCTCAACCGTATACATACCCATCACACCCATAGTTCCCATCCGCGTATCCCCCACAGAGGATGCACAGATCGGACTCATGTCTAAGGACCACAAACAGCGCGGAACCACGCCATACAAACCATGCGTTGGAAGCAATGCGGGAAAGGAGGGCTGCTTGCATCAACCCCCGTCCGATGTCATGTTGGCCGGAGCCCCCCCCCCCCCCCCCCGGTGTTTANTGCTTGCATCAACCCCCGTCCGATGTCATGTTGGCCGGAGCCCCCCCCCCCCCCCCCCCTCGCTAGCCAGAGTACCGAATCGTACGTTACCTTTTATGGCGAACATGTATACCTACGACCGCCCCCCCCCAACGATGAAATATGGGCAGATCATCGACAAGCGTGCGGCCGTGGTGATCCTCGAGAGCCTCATCCAAGACATGATGACGGGAGACGCGTCGGCCACAACAGCAGCAGCAGCAGCAGCAGCAGTAGCAGCGACCCCAACCGGTGCCGGTAGTTCGTTATCACCCGGGGTCCCCGCAGACGGCAGCAAGGGGGGGGGCAGAGCGGCAGGCGAAGAATACCTCGGGGGAGGGTTTTCCGTCGGCCAGGAGGGAAGTTCCAGCGACTACGCCGGTGTTGGCGCCGCCGGAAACGGCGGCGACGAGTTTCGACAGCGGAAAGCTGTGGACGCCGCAAGCCGAGGAGAAGGCCGGGGCGGTGGCGGCAGCAGCGGCAGCGGAGCGGGGGCGGGGGGAGCCGGGGAGGAAGAGGAAAAGGAGGAGGGAGGCGAGGTGGCGCCTATCACGTCCCCGAGGAAGAAGCAGCGGCTGCGTAACCTGCGGCTGGCGAAGGGCATGGAGCGGGCGCGGGAGAAGGACATCGCTGTGGTCGGGTGCTGGATCCCGTCGGTGCCGTGAGAGGAGAGGCGGCACATCTTTCGATTGCGGCACGTCTTTCGGTTGCGACCTCCGCGCCTGGAACTGTCGCCATTAAAAGTTATGTGTTTTCGTTTAGGTTAGCGTCGACTGACACCCAGGGCGTTTTCGTTCTTAAGTAGTGGGACGACGAACTCAAGAACGCTTCCTAGTTTGTGGAATGCGCGTGTGTGTTTCTTTTTATCTTAGCATCGACCGCCTTGATGGGCCTGACCGACCAGAAGATGATGCCAGTCTCAGTCAGTCGGTGGGTGTTGTTGCATTTGTGTGTATTGTTGTGATTCAATAAATCTGAGAAAGACCAAGAGAGGGTAGAGAGAGAGACATAAGGGAGAGAGAGAGAGGGAGAGAGAGANAGAGAGAGAGAGAGAGAGAGAGAGAGAGAGAGAGAGAGAGAGAGAGAGAGAGCGAGAGAGAGTTGTTTCCGCATGATAACCCTACCGCCGCGCTTGTTGAGCACGCACAAACGGGTGGGAACTGGCACGGCCGGTTCTCCCAGAGGCGTACCGGCATTAGACGTGTGTACGATCAGAATGTTTAATTTATGGGATGGATGTGGTTCTTTTCCTTTTTGTTCATTTCGTTTTTGACGGGCGTTTCTTCTTCGCCCGAGGCGTCTTGCGTGCGCGCCTCGCGATTTGTCAATTTCCAGAACAACCCGTTTCGGAATTGATTTGCCCGAGAGACTCAGCAGCCTTCTCTCCTCTCTTTTTCGCACCTCCTATGGCGCGCACACGCGTTGATGACTAGGGGGGCGCGCTTCCTGATATCTACACAGATAGTATACAAGTTCAGCGCGGTGTCTGCCGCGAAAACAGGTGCCATGCAAAGGGCAAGTCTTGCATAATCTCACCAACGTTCAAATGTGGAGGAATGAAGAGAGCAAAGACTGAGCGCTATGGCGTTGGGATGTAAAATAGGTCGCACAGACTGCTGTAGCAGGTGTTGAATTCCTGCTCCCCGCACACGTATGGTCTGCAAGTATTGAGTTTGACAGACACCGCCGCGAGCGGCAGAATGGCGAATACGGTACAGATGGCGCCCGCACTTCGGAACCTCCATTTTCGGCCGAGGCTGGGGTTCTTATTTTGCTGATCATCCGCTTATGGGCTACAAATGGCCGCTATATAGGTTTTAGTGTGGGGTTCTTAACCGAGCTCACAAATGGTGCTCAAGTTCTTAGCTGCTGATTTTTTGCGAGTCTCAATTTCTTAACTGCTAAGTTCTGACGTGCGGGCGGTATCTGTAGTGTTGGACGATGGATGGATGTATCCGCTTCGAAGAGCAACGAGCAGATTACAAGCTGGTGGTCCAATCCACCCTTCTTTCCTCCCGGTGTCGTGACTAAATGTCCGCGCCCTGTGGGCGGGAGTCGGGCAGCAGTGTGGTGTACGTTGTGTACTGCTTGTGTAGGAATCCTCGACACACAAACAGCAACAGCAACACACAACCAAGCGAAGATTCGAAGATGAAACCGTTTTTGCAACGACCCGGCCTCCCATATTCTGCGTAACCCCTATAACGGGGGGGGTACAGCAAACTGAGTACAAACCGCGGAGCTCCGGCCCACGCCTCCCGCTATGCTCACAGGACCTCCCAGCAGAATCGGGACTCGGCAGCACCTCAAGCAGAGGTTAACCATGGCAACGCCTGCTCGACCTCTCGAGAATGATCCTCAGGTGGATTTCTACGTCCTTCTAGGGGTGAGTCGGCTCTGCTTACGAAGTTGTTCTATCTCACAGCGGTAGTAGTCTTCGAGAGTTCGCAGCAGCAATAACAAATCCCACCGCCGCCTTGTGGAACAAAGAGAGGAGTTTACTCAGCTATTGGAGCTTTACCGTCGGGCAAGGTTGTGCGAATTGCACGAGTTGTTCGAGGGTGTAGTCGGCGGGGTGCCCGCGAACTGGCTATTTCATCCGGAATAGTGAAACATCGTAGATTACTCAAAAGCTGCATGTAGTCCAGCTGGGTGGTTCAATGATCCCACGATATTCCGAGAACGAGCTGGGAACGGGCGAGAGAAGAGAGGTGTGAGAGAGACGACCATGGAGACTAAAATGCGTGTTGGCTTGACCGTTAACATGTTATTCGCGGTCCTATTTCCTGCTCATCACAACCCCCGCGCCCGGCAGAGGTGCCACGAGCATTCCGCAGCATTTTCACTAGGCGTATAAAGTGCATACGCGGCACTAAAAAGGCGGTAGGTTTTCTTTGGCAGGTGATTTATTGCGTGGCATATCTTTGGCTTCACTCGCACTACTGCTGTACTAAACTATTATAGCTGTAGTGTATTTGTCCTGCTGAGAAGATACTCTTTCTGACCATATGCATGTAAATAGCAGCAATTCGTGGTGCTCCCATCCGCAATGCGGCATGGACTTGCCATGCGATGTTCAAATGGTGCAACGATGCAACGCGCTTTGGAAACTCAAACTGACTGCTCGGCCCCTCCCCTCCGATGAATCAATCCCTCTGCCACTCTTTCGGAGGGATTCCCATCTCCAGTCATTGCCAGCGGTCCTTCGAGAACACAGCACACGATCAATAGTTCGAAATCATACCCCAGCTTTGTGATGCTTTCAATTGACCCCCCATCAACGCATTTCCCAAGTTTGACAACAACAACAACAACAACAATACCCTCAGGTGTCGAAAACTGCAACGGAGAAGGAGATCAACACTGCCTACAAGAAGCTGGCGATGAAGTACCACCCCGACCGCACCCGCGGGGACCTGGAGGCCGCCGAAAAGTTCAAGGAGATCGCTACCGCCTATGCGGTACGTGCGTACATGCATAGGTTAATCACGCAACCAGGGAGACTAGACTTGATGTGTGTTTCATCATAGAGCGTACTTCTTGGTAACACAACAACTTTTGGTGTTGGGTCAGAGCGTGACAAACGACAGTACCAAAACCTTCGTTCCCGAAACAAGACAAACGACGCAAAGCAAAATACTTCGAAGTCTATTGGGCAAGTTAACCTGTGACAACGGGAATCGATCGGTCAAGAGTTTGATCAGTTCGGACAGATGAAGGTACTGGGTAAAGAAATCGGAACGTGTTTTCACGTGAAAACAGCAACCACAACACAGAGGCTTTGCTGTGCGATCCGACCCGAACCGATGGCGGCAGCATGAAATGACGGTGTATATCACCCCCCCCCGTCAAGAGGAGGCGCATGATGTAGAAGCGCATCGCTCGCTCTGTTGAAAACCGAACATGGGGCCGTTGTTGTGTCCATTCGTGTAGATGGCCCTTAAGAGGAGAGCCATATCTCTTCGGTATTTCGTGCCACCGAAGTCAGATATCTCACAGCGACACCAGTGTGACAACAGGGGATCCTTCTCGACGAATAGATGTTGGCAAGATGTGACCCTTAATACAGGTTACCTCCACATATGCTGTTGCTGTTGCTTAGCTGCTGTTTTTTTCCAGCAGTCTGCATGCCTTGTTCCTTGTTTCATGTTTCGAGGTGGCTTTATTGAAGTCTAAACCCGAGGAAGCGTAACCCAAAGCGTGGCGACACTGTACACACGTCCTCTTGTGTTCCCGCCCCCCGCAGACTCTGTTCGGACAACGGTGTTGCCATCACCGCTGTCTTGCATTGCCGACCTTCTGGCCTCTCGTCGGTGTCCGTTTGTTGCACCTGGTGCTGCTATTTGATCAAACGAACCATCCCTGACTTGGCTCATGCTGACGTCTGCTCTTGATTCTGTCGTCCACTTCAGATTGTTGATTTGCTGCCGCTGCAGCTCATGTTCGGCATTTGGTGACATCAATCACGGCTTGTCATGAGCATGCTTCCGGTTTTGCCAACCCCCCCCCCCCCCCCCCCCCCCCCCCCCCCCCCCCCCCCCCCCCCCCCCCCCCCCCCCCCCCCCCCCCCCCCCCCCCCCCCCCCCCCCCCCCCC